CAGAGCTTGCAGTGAGCTGAGGTCACGCCACTGCACTCCAGCCTGGGTGACAGAGCGAGACTCTGTCTCAAAAAAAAAAAAAAAAAAAACTATCTGAAGAGCAACTGTAGAGAGTTAAGCTGGGATAGGATGATCATTCAGTCAAAGCATACTTGCTGAGCACTGATATGCCAGGTACTTCCCAGGGACCCAGGAATCAGGAATGGAGAAAACAAACAAAAATCCTGGTCTTCACGGAGTTTACACTCTGATGAGAGAAAACAGATAGTAAACAAGTACACTACATACTATATGCTAAGGAGGAAAAAGACATGAGAGGTTCCAGGCTGAGGAGATGTGCTAGGGACAAGGGGAAGCGGTTGTCTATTTATTCAGGGTAGGTTAAGGAAGGCTTTATTGATAAGATGACATCTGAACAGAGACCTGAAGGAGGTGAGCAATTTGGTTGTATAGACTACCAGGAGAACAATACTGCAGCCAGATAAAATGCACGTGCAAAGGCCCTGGGGCAAGGGCCTGCTTAGTGTCCTGCAGGAGCTGGCATAGAGGCCAATGTTAACAGTCTATGAAACAGTCAGAAACAGGGAGCCAGTTCATATAAGGTGACTGTAACAACATTGTCTTTTACCCTTGAGATAGGAAGGTTTGAGAGGTTTTGTGCAGAAGAGGAATGTAATCTGGCTTCTCTTTAAAAACGATCCCTCTAGATGTGCTGAAAATTGACTAGGGCCCGGGGGATGAACCAGTTGGGAGGTTATGGCTAATAATCTGGACTACAGTGGCTCAGACCAAGTGATAGTAAAAGTGGTCAGAACCTACACAGAACTTAAAACAAATTTACAAGAAAAAGGAAAGAGAAAAGGCCAAAGACACAAATTAGGAAGTAGTGTAAAGATGTATTCAAAGCCATGAGACAGACAGAATGAGATCAGCAGAAGTTGACAGAGAGGAGGTCTGACGACTGAGAACTGGGCCACTCTAATGTTAATAGGTGGGGAGAGGAAGAGAACCAAAGGGGACTGAAGATGAATGGCTGGTGTCGTCACAGTGTAGTCACTGGAGATGAAAGGCCAGTGCAGATTTGTTGTGAAGAGACTCCTTTGACTGCAGCATGTAAAATGGATTGAGCAGGGGCATGAGTTGACATAGGAAGACCAGGGTAGGAAGCTGCAAAAATGACTTCACAAAGGCCTGAGATCTGGGCCTCTTGAAGGATTTCTGCCTGAGAGGCTGTCCATCTCTCAGATAGAATTCAAAAATGCCCGTAAGAACAGCAAAGGCAGGCTTTTCAAATATTAGGATACATCCAGGAGAAACCTGGGGACTCCAGGAGCACCCTCCTCTCACGGGAAGATGCTGCACTGCCTTATGTTTTGCATGAACACAACCTTCAGATTCCTATCCTTTGCAATTTAATAAATGTCACTTCTTTCAACTGGGTCTCTATCAATCACAGTGTGTGTGCGTGTGCGTGGCTGTGTGTGTCACACACAGAGAGAGAGAGACAGAGAGAGGAGAGTCTTGCTCTGTTGCCCAGCCGGAGTACAGTGGTGCAACCACAGTTTCTGGGCTCAAGCAATCCTCCCACTTCAGCCTCCCGAGTAAATGGGGCTACAAATGCATGCCACTCTACCAAGCTAGTTTTTTTATTTTATTGTAGAGATAGAGTCTCATTATGTTGTACAGGCTGGTCTTGAACTACTGGGCTCAAGCAGTCCTCCCAGGTTGGCCTCCCAAAGTGCTGGAATTACAGGCATAAGCCACCATACCTGGCCCTTGTGATGTTTTGATAGTTATGCAGAAATTAAACCGCAGTGGTCCAGGTGAGTAAGGATGGTAAGGAGGATGTGGGTGACAGAAAAAAGGTCATAAGAAAGAGGATAAATTAAAGAAATACTTGAGGAGTAAAACTGTCAGGGCTTGTGAATGGACTGGGATATAGAAAAGAGGATAGAGGCATCTTGGATGCCTCCTAGGTTTCTGACATGCAACACTGAATGGGTGGTGCCACCGTTCAATTAGGGAATATTGGACGAGGACCCAGGCAGGAGACTATAAATTCAGTCTTACATGTGTTGAGACATTGAGAAGGCAGCTAGGGCTGGAACTCAGAAGGCAGAGAGAACTGAAGAGATCAGTTTAGAAGTCATCTGCCAGTAAGATGAAACTGATGACATATATTGAAAGGACTGGTAGCAGAGATTAAAAAGAGAACATGGCCTAAGAATGAGTGTTTTAGATATGGACTGTTTATTAGCCATAAGACTAAGATGTGCCTGCAAAGCAGGCTGAGAAAGAGTAGCTAAAGAGGTAAGAGGAAACCTAGCAAAGTGCACCGTGACAGAAGCCAACAAAGCTTGTATTTCAAGGAGGAGGGAGCAGCCATGTTAATGCTGATGGGAGTTGGTATCTGTTAGAATCTGCGTTTAGCTTATTCTTTGTCTTTGTCTTGCCCGCAGATCTGCTGGTCCTGATGATTTCTACCAAAGCATTCTGTGAATATAATTCAAAAAGCCTTCACATAATTTTATCATTTGTCAACACCATTCTAATAAGCTAGTCAAAAACTTTCTAATATTAAGACAGCAGGGCTGTTAAATTCATTTTGGATAAAACTACACTTCTGGCATTGCAGTGATTTTGGAAAGAACACAGAACTAGAGTCTCTCATCTAATCCTAGTTTTACCTTTCTCTAGATCATGGGCAGGACTCATGCCTTTCTGAGTTTTGGTTTTTGTTCAATGCTGGGGGTAGGGGAGTGGGGTGGGAGGAGAAATGTATGCAGTGAGCAGGTGGGAAACAATAAACTTCCCATCTCTGTAAGATCCTAGAGTTTACAATTAATTTTGTAGGAATACCAGGGGAAATGTGTGTATTTAAAGCAAACATTTTCAAAAGTGGCCTCTATAGGGCCCTAAGACAAATTACTACTTCAAACTATTTAGTTGGTTTGGCGATTTCTCAGGCCAACCAGATACTCTGACACGTATGAAGTGTCAGAGGATATTGAACATGCAATTTATTGTTTTTCTAATGAACAGTGAGATACTAGACAATAGTTCATTTCTCAAAAATGTTCACATTTTCTTATGAATTTAATATTGTCATGAAAAACTCTTTCTTGTCCACCTAAAAACAGTTAACTTTAAATGGTAATCAAACTGTTAATATAAAAAAGAGTACTGCTGATTCCTCAGCACTTATGATGGAACTCAAGAGATACTCATTGAGTGAATGAATGCTAGGCTTAGAAATTCCACTGAAAAATGACATCTGAACAGCCAAGTCACCATATTCTCTCTAGTTCCAATATTTATGTCTCGCATAAACTATTTCCAGGGCTTACAGTTACAAAGATAAAATCCTATTCAAAGCAGAACACACATAAAAACCGTACAGATGCAAAGTTTGAAAGACTTGTTATCTGCTTCAACATAATAAAGACAGACTGCACTAAGTATCTTGTAGTGTACCAATATTTTTCTTTGCCCAATAAAGTATTTGCTTTCTCAATGTCCAATCCTCAAGAGACTTCTCAAAGGTTACTCCTTGTGCCTTAAGAGATTATCATGACCTCCTTCTGGACGTTTTGTTCACTATTTCAGGATATTATTGACTGGTTTTACAGAGTAAAAAAAGTATGCAGCAAATAAAAAAGCTCACGAAAGTTTTATAAAATGAAACCAAAATTAAGAGGCATGGGGACCATTTCACTTTGTTTACAAATCAAACTTGTCTCTGTAACTCCCTTTCAACTCTGCCATGGTCTAACCAAACTAAGTCCCTACTGCCTCTCAGTCTTCTCATTGTTTTATGCCATGCCTTTTTGTTCTGCAGTCCCAGTGTGTGTACTGCCCTTGCATAGACATTTTTTCCCACCAAATCCCAATGGCCAAATCCCAACCGTCTTTAAAGCCTCAAACATCATTATACCCATGAAGCTTTCTTTGAACTCCACAGATAGAAGAAACCTCGTATTTTCCTAAACTGCACAAGTGCAGCAATTTACCTAGGCTTCTTTATAATAGTTAACATGTTCTACCTTGCATTTAGTTATAGTAACTTATGCTTTCTATGGTTCCAGGTTTATACATGTGTATCTATTTACATGTATAAACACATGATATATAGAGAGTATAGTCTTTATTTTGTGGTTATTTATTTAAGCTTTAATCTCTAATAATTTTTAAGCTCCTTGTAAACAGACTTGGTGTCAATTTATCTTTGCTCCTTCCATGAGGCCTAGCTCAATATTTTGCAGAGTAGGCGGTCAGTAAATAAAGGAGTATAAAATGAGCTCTCATTGCATATGTGCTTTGTATACAATTTGCACAATGAAATGAACAAAGCCATATGATAAGCTAAAGTCACTAAGAGTAAGAAATCAATCACATAGATATATATTTGACCCCTCTAATCTTCACTCTGTTTTACAGCAATCTTATTGGAGGAAGTGATTTAACAAACTCACAGTTAAGTGTCCTTCATGATGATCTGGGAAATGAATGAATAAGTACTCTGTGGCTACCAGTTGCATTATGGAGTCACCTAGGAATTCCATTCTCTGATTGTGGCCTCTGGAAAAAGAAATATCAAAGTAAAGAAATCAATAACCATTTATGGATTTCAAAAAAAACACCCAGAATTTTTAAAAAGGCATGACTTAAAAAGACAATGTGTTCATTTTGTTTTAAAGCACAAAACCAAATACAATTCCCTAAGGCCCCTCGATTGAGAAGAGATCTGAGTTAATATAGGTTGAGTTTTAAAGAAGAATAAAGTGAATATTATCTAAGCATTAAACGATTGCCAAAATCAAGACTGGTAAACACTGCCTGGTCAGAAGCTGAAGAGCATAAATTGAAAAATCAAGCATAATACAAACAACAGTCTTGAAAGAAAGCAAACAGGTCCAAGAATTTTCTTTGCTAAACTTATTGAAATATATACTCTGGCCGGGTGCAGTGGCTCATGGCTCTAATCCCAGTGCTTTGTGAGGCTGAGGCAGGTGGGTCACTTGAGCCCAGGAGTTTGAGATCAGCCTGGCAACATGAAGAAACCCCATCTCTACAAAAAAAAAAAAAAAAAAATACATACATACATACATATATATATATAAATTAACCATATATATATATAAATTAGCCATATATATATAAAAATTAGCCGTGTGTGTGTGTGTGTGTGTGTGTGTGTATATATATATGAATTAGCCAGGCATGGTAGCACACAGCTACAGTCATAGGGGACACAGCTATAGTCCCCAGCTACTCAGGAAGCTGAGGCAGGAAGAGTGCTTGAGCCCAGGAGGTCAAGGGCTGCAGTGAGCCGTAATCATGCCACTGCATTCCAGCCTTGGCAACAGAATGAGATCTGTCAGAAAAAAAAGAAAAAGAAAAAGAAAAATAACATACTCCATTATTCAAAGCTGGAATCCAAATTTAAAAACAAAAAAACTATGATAATCTTTCATCTTTATAGTTTAAAGAGAGTTGGGAATATTTGGTTTGGAAGAGGGGAGTAACAAAATGAACAAAAAACAACCCCAAAGAAGTAAAATTTTGCTTATTTTCTTAATTGTTTCACTAGCTCACCTTCAAATCATTCATCTACAGCAGGGGTCAGAGAGCCACATCCAGCCCACGGACTGTTTCTAAGGATAAAGTTTTACTGGAACACAGCCATGTTCACTCATTTCCATTTCATCAGTGGCTGCTTTGATGCTACTACGGCAGAGTCGAATCACTGCACACAGGCCACATGGCTCACAAAACCTAAAATATTTAGTATCTGTCCCTGCTGGGAAAAAGTTTATACTTTCTTCACACTTCTCTTGCAACTTCACAGGGAAACCAAGATGCATGACAATGGAACCAACAACACTGGATTGGAGCATAACCCCGGGTCCACACTGGGGTCTGTCTGCTCACCCATCTCGCAGTGTGACTTTCCTGGAAATATATTTGAAATCCCAATTCCTTCGAAGGGCATGCTCCAAAGGTCTGGGACTGCCTCGTCTAAATGGTCACATTGGGACAACATGAGAACTTTTCACTCACAGGGTCAGATGGTTAAATCCCACAGTTCTCAATGTGAATGCCCTTGCCAGAAGTCGAACATGAGTAAAAATTACTCCAATTGCTTCTTCAAACTCAGTAAGTTTTTGTAGAACTGGAGAAGTTTCAATAAGTTGTCTATCAGTATTTGGCTCTTGTAGCTACAGGAAAATAGAAATAAATAAAAATCATTTTTTTCACTTTTGGTTATAAGTGTAATGATCAATTCTAGGATAGTGTTTTGTAAAATTCCTTCTCCCATAAGCAAAAATTTCTGAAATGCCAATAAAGCACGGAAGTTCCTTTCTCATCTCTTTGAATGGCAAACAAATCTAATATTTAAAGAAGGTTCAAATAATATTTTCCAATCTTCTATCAAATTTCAAGGCCAAGTACTGTACACAGATAGTTCAGAATCCAAGTATTATACTAACTCTCCAAGGAGATGCAAGCTGAAGAACAGCTGGTAGAGAATATATATATCTAGTAAAACAATGGTTCTCAAACTCTAGCATGCATGTTAAATGCAGTCAGCTGGGCCCTGTCCCCAAGGTTACTGATTTTCTATGTCTGGAATCAAGACTGGGAATCCACCTTCCTGACATGTTCCCAGGTGATGCAGATGCTGCTGGTCTGGGTCTGTCCTTCAAAAACTACTGTATTAAAGTAATTTGACTACTGTGTTTTCTAGGGACCAACCTATTTTGGCAATGAGAATCATTAAAACAGAATTCAATGTACATTGGAGATTGTTATACCACTAGACAGGTGGTGCTCCAACAATGAGCCTTTAACAACTGGCAGAGAGCAAATATGAAAAGTGTGATTAAAATGAACATTTGCAACAACTTTGGGCACTCATGTATTAGTAAAACATTTTTAAAGTAAGCTGAATTAATGTCATTTCTTACTGTAAAGCCTCTTATGAGAGTTCAACCACTACTGATTATTCTTATATTTATTTTATATACATATATAAAAATATGTATATGAGGATACATATGCTTGTTTACATATATGCATATATCCCAAAGTAAGACGAAATAAAAGCAAAGAATAGTAAGAATTCTTAAACCATCCGGGGAAATAGGTGTCATCACCATAAGTAGGGCTTTTAAATTCCAAAATCTTGATTGAAAAGCTATCACATTGTACTCATTTTTAAATTTATAGTAGGTTTTACACACTCTGAATTGAAGCTTTAAATTTCTAAGATCCAGATCAGATTATACTTTAACAATGTTAATTTAGTATTTGTTCTACTTTTTTAGTATCCTCAGATTTGCTTCCATACTATTAACACTTTCCCTGCAATAGCAAGTGTGTAGATACACTGGAGTCAACATTTTACACTTTGAATATCACCTTTTGGTGGTGGTGGGGCATCCATAACTACACAGTAGCTCTTCCTTCCTCGTTGAGGGAGGATGACTCCCAGTGCTCCCCCTACCCCTTTCCAGACCACATAAACACAATGCATGGGTTCATTCTACTATTGTTCCAAAGTTTCCCAGGTCTGACACCTCAGTTTAAAGGCATAATGCCACTGAAGAGAATCAAAAGATAAAAGTGGGAGAGGAAAAAAAGGCAAAGGAAAGTAACATGAATAGTTGGAGTCATAAAGCTCACTGCAGACAGGGAGGTCATACTTACTTGGAGTGGGTGGAGAGGATAATTGAGCCAGACTTCGCGCAGGTCCTGGAAAATGGAGTGATGCCTTTAATGCTCAAGGGAGCCATTTAACGTACTCTAGAGTACTAAATAAAATGTCTTTATTTGAAATACTGAACTATTTCAGAAGCTGACTCCACTTATGGCAAATTCAGTAGTGCTGGCAAACTAATTTTTTTAAAGTGTATTCACCACTCAAACTGCCTGTAGTGGCTCTAATTAGCCTATTAAGCTAGGGGGAAAAAGAGCCACCTCTAGTCCCACAAGTCAGACACCTTTTAAAACTAAGTTACACATTTGCTTAACCTAATACACTGCACTAAGCTGCTCTTTTAATCATATTTTTTTCTTACCATTATCCAGAAATGTGCATCAGCTGTGCCTTTTGTAATTAAAAATAATTTCAAATGTCCTTTATTTTAGGCACTAATTCATTATCATCTGAGCTATTTTAAGATGGAGTGGAAAAGGCCCCACATCATCTTCATAAGATCTTACGTTTATGAGATCATGCTTTTACAGTGGGTCACTACAAATCCTCACTTGATCTACTGGAATGAGTGAATTTTATGGAAACGCCTAGTACATTACTTTATCCACTGAGTTAAATCTAGAGGCAGTTATAAGGAGACCTTCCTCAGGATTAAAGTGCTTTTCCTTTAGTTTCAGACTCTAGGGAGTCTCTGACTGAATTTACTTGCCGACCTTGATGTTAGATTTCTGAAATAAATAACAAAAAAATTCTTTAAGAGGAAACTTGTTTTTTTATTTTTATTTTTTGGAGGGGAAGAAGTATAGGAAAATTTAGTACCACTTGTAACACACAGGGTGATAAAGTAAAATACCTAGTATTTCTTGTACTACTGATATCTTAATAAAATACACTCAGGGTTTTTTAAATAATATTTTTTAAAAGCACTTAAACATCAAACTTTCTTTGGGGCACTTTAAAGGACTTCTCTTAACCAATTCAGAAATCTTTCCTTTGAAATCTCTGTAGTGCAAATTATATTGATTGTTCTTACCTTCTTACAACTTTCTCTCAATACTTTTTTTCTTCCTCCTTTTACCCTAAGTGGACATTTATCAAACTTCAGCCCCTTGCCTGACCTATTCATTACCATTTCCACTGGAGAATTCCACTATTTTCAATGCTTTACTACTTCAGTTTGGATTACTCATTCATTTCTGCTGCAGCACTGACGTCTTACCTAAGCTCCCAGTCCATAACTCTAAATATCACATGGGCACCTATTACCCCATATGGAACATGACCAAATGATAACTTTTCACCTTTCCCCTTAAACTAGAGCAGCTGTTACAGAAGATGGCAGGCTCAGGAGTCAGGCTGCCTGGATTCAATCCTGATTCCATCTTGGCAAATCACTTAACCTAAGCTTCCATGTCCTCAAGCTTAAGACAAAGATAATTGTAGGACCTACTCGAGCTGTTCTCTGACGAACACCCTGAGCAATGCACTCAAAGTATTAAACCCAGAGCTGGCCCACAGAAAATACTACTGTTAATAATGATGACAACAACAACAATGATAAACAGCTATCTCTTCCAACCAACCCCAGTCTCCAAGGCTCAAAATTCCCAGGGATCTTGATTCACCTTTCTTCTATCGCCTTCATGTCTTATACTCAAACAAGACTTTGATTTCTCCTTTCATGTCTGCTGCCACCCATCTTGGTGTAATCGCATAACACCCCATGACCAGACTAATGCACCTGTCCATTTCCTCTCTTCTACCCCGTAGACACTGAGATAGGGTTCTGCTGCACCTTGGTGTCAGTGGAAATATATTGAAAAGATCTAGACTGGAACCCCAGTGCTACCATTTATTAGCTCAAGGACCTTAGGCAAGGTCTCTACCTTTAGCTGGCTCTTCTGGAAAATATTCTGATCAGGTCATTTGTTCATGCAACATGTTTTTACTGAATATCTAGCCCTGTCCTAAAGGGGCCTACTGAGAAAGAATGAAGGTAAATAAGTGCAATTTAATACATTGCAAGTCTCATAATAATGAGATAAAAACATGTAAGTGCTAGGAAAACTGCCTGTAGGTGTCAGATAAAACTTCAAAGAGGAGATGACTCTTCAGATGTGTCCTGAGAATATGAAGATTTTGGCCAATCAGTAGAGTGAGAATCAAAAACGGGGCACCAGAAACATACAAATAAGAAGTCTTAAAGTACACAGGCACGAAAAGGTGATTCCTAGTGAATGACACAAAGAGGGATTTAAAAAACAGCTGAGAGTCAGATTATGAAAATTATTAAATGCTATGTTATGTAGTATATAGAGCTTGGGAAGCTGTAATCAAAGATTTTAAGCAAGAAAGGCCATAACCAAATCTGCACATTGAAAAGAAGACAACACTAAATGTGGTATGAATGATGGACTGGAGCAGTGGGAGATAACAGCTGGTTAAAGAGTTCAAGTGAGAAATGAGGAGGACAAAAATGAAAGCAGTAGGGTAGCAATTCAAGAAATATTAGGGTCACAATTGATAGAATCTTACAATTGATCACATAAGAGGAGAAGAAAGCTTAGGGACAAAAATAAATCCTAAGGTTTCTGGTTTAGAAGATAAAAATAAGGAAGGAGGAACATGTTTGGGGGTTAAAAGTGATGGGTTCAATATTACACATGTTGAAATGAGGTATCTGTGGAACACCGATGAGAAGGTGCCCAGGGGCAACTTGAAAAGACACTTTTTCCTATTTCTGGAGCTCCAGAGAAAAGGCCTGAGTCAGAGGTACTGGTACAGATGTGTAAAGAAAAAAGGTGTGGAAAGCAGGGCACAGGAAAAATCACATTAACACCACTCTATCTTTCTAAGCGGGCTATTAACATAATCAAAATGAAACAATGGATCTGAATGTACTGGGTCAAACATGAAGAGTTACACAAAGACCAAAATACAAAACCAGCAACACTGGGGCTGAAAGAGTAAAACTCAGTTCAGGGTGAAAAAGAAAAAACTAGCCCTGCTGTTTACAAGGCTGAGCAGACAGACATAGATAAAGCCAGCAGCAAAGTGAACAGGAAACAATGTTTCCCTCAAGGTCTTGCAGCTGCTGAAAAATGCCATTATGACCCTCTGACTAAGGATCACTGCAGACACTCAATCTCCAAGCTGCCCTTGCCTTGTGACAGCACCCAATCCCAGAGTGATCTCTTGCTGCTCCTAAACTGGCCACAGCCAAGAACCTCCTGAGAATTATTCAGCACTAGCCCAGGCCTCACAAAGGATGTCTCTCTCTCCACCCCTACAACACAGCCAATCCACCTGACTTTGTTGCCTACAGGTTTGTCCCTGGCTGTCTTTGGCTGATTAGGCTTTCATGACGCCTTATTCAAAAAAGAAGTACATTGGTTCACTAACATCTCTCACATGCTACAACTAATAGGTGGAAACCAAAATGGAGATGTCAAATGAGTTAGTGTCCAAGTTTGTGTACTTCAAAATGCTAGAGGAAAACCCATACATTTTGAGCCTTGTACAGTTTCACAAAAGACATACTAAAACAAATTCTGAATCTCAACCACCCCATTTGTAAGATAATATTCAGACTCTGCTTTTAATCCAGTCATTTACTCACTTCACTCTTCTAACAAATATGTATTAAACGCTGCACATGCCAGCATTGCACTAGGTACTGGAAACACAAGATAAGCTCACTAAGTAGACAACTGGGAGAGAGGCAGTTTAAAGAGAAAAGAATCTAAACACTGACTGATGCAATTAAAGACGACAAGTAGAAAACTGCAGCAAAACAGAACAACAGAACACAGTGGACTGGGGATGTAGGTAAGATGGGAGAAGGGGACAGGGAAGAGGTCAGGGTGGGGGAGGGAGTCTAAAGGGTCTGGGGGACACAGAGGCAAGATGGCAGGAAGGAAAAAGAGCAAAGAGGTTGCTGAAATGACCCACAAAAGGTGAAGGCCAGAACAAAGAAAATTTAAGATTTGAGAAAAGGTCTTAAAACACAAACCATCTGGTACAGATGCAAATCAAGATGCACATGTGTTTAGATGTACAGGACAAAAATAGGGGACACAGAACATCTCTAGATAATCTTCCCATAAGGAGGAAATTCACACATAAAAATCATCACATATCTCTAGAAAAACAAATACAAAAATCAAATTCTCAGATGTGAACATTGTCCAGGTCATATTTTCCAAAACTATTGCTCCTTTTTTAAAAAAACTACCCAAAGTAATACAGTAATAACGTCTGACAGCCATTTAAGCTGAAGGTTTCACAGAGGCTTAAAACTGGCTTCCCGTGTTCTTTATTGCTCCACAAGGGCTATTTCATTCAATTATAATGACATTTCAATTTGGAATACAGAGTTGCTTCTCCCTTTAAATGTTAAATTGACTTGTTTTGGTGCAGAAAGCATCCAGAGTGCTCTATTATATGCAGGATTAAAAAGGTATCTCTGGCAATATTAATAGCTTAATATTTAAGTTAACAACAGAAACTATTTTAGAATCTATCATTTTTTCTTAAACTATAATTTGCTTTTTAAAAAAGTACTTTCATATTTGTGACAAACCCACAGCCAATATCATACTGAATGGGCAAAAACTGGAAAAATTCCCCTTGAAAACTGGCATAAGACAGGGATGTCCTCTCTCACCACTCCTATTCAACATAGTGTTGGAAGTTCTGGC